TCCACAACTTGCTTATTCACGAGGTGTTTTGTGGGGCAAAAGTGCTCTGTTTGTAGATATTTCGCAAGAACTAGGGCAGCATCCCATACAACACAACTTTCGTCACCTACTTCAGCTTGCTTGATCTTAAGTATTCCATCTTTACACTCGATTTCTCTCTCAAATGTACGATCACAGAGATCTGCACCTTTGACCGCCATGTTGAAGCTTAGACGGCAACCGCTGACTATTTAGGAACAGCTGTGGCTTAAGAGGAGACTGAAACGAGCATAGTAACTGCACCGATGGCTACATGGACCCCCCAGGCTTAAGGCTCATTTCAAAGCTTTAGAACTAAGGGAAGGGGAAACATCTAACCCAACCAACTCATGGCAATCTTTCCAGGCTTCGCCTATCATTTTTATGGACGCTTTCGTGATGCAAATATTAGAAACATTTAATTCCTTTGCTTTGACTGTAAGGGTTTCCTAACAGCCCCCATTAACTTCTTGAAGTGATTAACTTCCAACTTCTCTCCAAGATATCCACAGTTTATCCGGCATGCAGGTATTGAGAATAATCCAACTTAGCAGCTAAGGGGAATAATTAAAATCAGATCTTGGGAGTTGGAGAAGTACCAAATCACTTCATTTTAAATTATCATTTCTACAACAAAGTAATTTCCATACAACAACGTCAAAACAATGTGAATCCTTTTATTAATTAAAAATGCAACGCAAGGCAAATCTGTACGTCAGTTGAAGTCTGACGTTTTAGCTTCAGATTTCGTTACAGTTCCTGATTTGGTGCAAATAACAACATCACCCCCTAACTAATGAGTTATTCGTGTGCCGATTCTCTCACATTTACGTCATTCTTTCTGTTTGTATTGAAAGATCATGACCTGTTATCAACATATATAATCTCATTACAATCATCCATACATTCCTTATAATAACATTTAGGAGAATCTGGAGTTTGTATGATCCAAGCACCAGTATACAATTTCTCCTTAGGGTCTCTATGATTTTTTCAATGCCAGCTGGGAGAAGTCCGTTTTTGATCAGGTTACACCCTTCAAGTCCTGCAAGAACTAGAGTTTTGGCGATTTTGAAAAACTCAGAGGTTTTAGACTTTACAGTATCATTAATAACAAATATTTGTTTTTTTTCCAAGTAGAAAATTCTGTACAAATATGTCCTTTCAGATTACAGTTCCCCGCCATGTTCATGTACATGTGCGCCCTCTAGGTCAATATCCTGACATGCTGCAGGAGTTTTAAATTCCATGCGGTATTCACATCTGCTGGGCTCTGATACTTGAACCAGCTCGTTTGCTGAGCCACAACGAAGGATTACCTGTAAAGAAAAGGAAAATTTTCTCTGTAAAATTGTTACATATCGGTTCGTCGGACCTTGTGTCGTATGGAAGTTAACTTTGCTCTCGGTTTTTGCAGGTTAGGAGTTCGAGTCTCGTTGAAACTGCATGAGTGAAGGGATATCCTCGGAAAACGTCATTTGCTTTTTTTTGTTCCATTTGGCTTGATTTTCGAATGGACTATTTCGCAAAAAATCTTCGATGGCTAACACATGCTTTTGGAAGACTAGTAAACGATGATGCCACAAACAAAAGAGAGCATTTGAGGAATTTTCTTTGAGTATGAAATCCAAGATTGTATTGCTTTACTTTCACTACGCACTGCGATTGATTATTAAAAAAAAATAAAAAAAAAACCCACGCCACTTGCTCAACCACTCAGATGCAAAACTAAAAGTACGATTGGTTACTCGCGTTTTCCCGCGCTTTTGACAGTTTATTCGTCCTAACTTGAGTTCCCAGTGGCTCCTTGGGGTATCTTCATGTGCTCTGATTGGTCGTTTTGGCTACTTGGCTTAGGTTCTAGAAAACTCACTGAGCGTCTAAGACTAAACTTTGAACGTGACGGTCAAAGCTAATCTTTACTCACCTCAGCTGATCTGCTAGGTCCGTTCCAACAGCTCTGTCCTCCTGAATATTTCATACGACTGTACTTATTGGAGTCACCTGTCCATTCACCCCATGTTCTACAAAAGATTCACCTCAAAATTACAAGGTTACCAAATCTGCGATTTTAACATTCGAGGTAACTCAGTTCTAAGTTATTCATACGGCTTCAAAGATGGCCCTGCGCGTTCTTTTTCCTTTAACAATAAGCGACAACAAGGAAGTGACTACAAAGCCAAGAAGATACATTTTCTCCGCGTAATCAGGCTTTTTAACCAGCAAATTATACTTGTAAGAAATGGTACAAACACAAATGGACTTCATATTTCCTGCCATCAGTAATAACTCTGCATGTTGTTCATACATTTGTCATGTAGCTATAAATAAATGACAAGTTTTAACGAAACGTTCTGTTGTTTGGGAAGCACGAAACGCTCGTTTTGAGAGCATTCACGTCGCCAAAGTTTTGCCTGGGTTTAACCCAAAAATAAAACTCACCCCAGAGAGGTTTCTGAGCCTCCATCTTTGGGCTGCTGTGAAGCTCTGTCAAATGGACACAGTTTGTACACATACCTGACAATTGGGAATACACACAGGCGTAAACAAGATGTTTAGACCAAAAATATCTACTCACCATACATAAAAAAAGGGAAAGCAAAAACAGAAACAAAAATACAAAAAAAAAAACTACAACAATAAAGACAAGCAAACAAATTAACAAAATAATTTCTTAAGGACCACTTTCCTCATTTCAGTTTTGGACTTGGGTTTGGTCTGTCCCATACTAGAGAGGCAAACAGACATCTCGCGCTTAGCCTATTCCCCCATGCACCACCCACGGTCCCCTAAATACAAGGGGGGAAGGGGGAGGGAAACTTTTTCGGTTTGATATTGTATCACTTACTCTCTGTCGGTGTATTCAAAACATTGTCCCTGAAGGGGCGAAAACTCTTCTTGCTGGCCAAGGTTCAGATTCAACGTTCGCTCAAGGTCACTAAAATCCAGGAAAAAATAAAACAGCTCAATGAATGCAAAATCAAGAACCGATGGCGAGAAAAAAGAGGAACAAACGGACGAATAAATGGAATGTTAAGTGTACGAGTAAGTTGACGAAATAAACGAAAAACTAACAGACGAACAAACAAGAGAGCGACCGAACGAACAGCTTCTTTAAGAATCCTCAAACCTGATTTCTCTTTCTGCGTCATTTGAAGCGGTATCTGCAGCATTAAACTCCTTTCTAGCATCATCAGCAGCTAAAATATGCAAAAAGTAAAAAACAAAAAACGGAGGAAAAAATATTACATGAAACAAATCAGACCTTGTAGAGATACAATAGCAAAAGATTTTAACCGTCATCAAAATGGTCCTCATAATGGCTCTGTGAGCAGTCACTGGTCTGAATGTAAGCCCACGAACTCCATCCGAAGAAACTCGCCTATTCTCGGGGAGGAACGAAGATCGGGCAAGAGAGATCGGAAAAAATCGAGTCCGAGTATAGACATGGCCTCCAAAGAATACTGTAACTAATGTGTTAATATTAATAACCCTTCAACTTACCAGAAATTTTTGCTTTTGTTTCCTCGTCATAGTCCGGCATCTTCAAATCATCATCTTTGCTATCTGCAAAGTTATAAGTTGAAAAAGAACAGAATCTTACTGTCAAAGAACTTGCTCGCGTCATGGCTAGCGGCCTTCGTACAGAGATTTTTCCAAAAGGCGCGCCAATACCCTTTAACTCCCAAGATTTGATTCTTAACTCTCCATACTAGCGGCTACACATTTCCTTGTAAATTAGCAACAAGAATTTAGTGTTAGATCAAGATAACAACATCTACCCGATAAGTGAGTATTCTCATTCCCTGTTTGCTGGACAGTGTAGGAATATTATCGGGAGAAGTTACAAGTCTATCACTTTTAGGTGTTAAAGGTTTAACTGGTTAACGCACCTTCTGGGTTTGGTTCAGGTATTTTCTTCTCGGCCTCCTCTTTGATTTCGTCCACGTGTTCGTCTCTATCATCATCTTCGTCGTCTTCGTCATCATCTTCTTCACCAGGAACGTCTGGAAGATCTTCATCATCAAAATTTTCGTCAGCTGGAGGAGGCAGAGGGGGAGACTCGGGTGTATCACTTGCTGATGGGGATAGGAAAATGTTTAGAGCACTTTTCGACTTAGTCTTGTTAAACCAAAACTCAAATCGTGATAACAGCTAAATAGGGAAAAGAAAAATATCTCGAGGAACTATCTCGAAGAAAGTACATTGAACAAATTTAAAAACAAACCTTCCGTGGGTTTATCTTCGCCCTCAGTTGTAACTGATTCATCTGCAGGTGGTGGCTGGGACTAAAATCACAGCGCAAACAAAAATGAAAATTACAAATTGTGAAAATTAATTAGTACTTTCATTAATTGTAGGACAGTTTTAAATTATGTTTCCTGTTCAGATTGGGATTTGGATGAAACATTTGTTACATAAACAGAAATTTTTACAAACATTCTCCGTGTGACTTACCGAAATGTCATTATGACCAAGCCTTAAAAAAATTATGATAATAATACCTGCTTGTCACCAAATTTTTCTTTGAAATTGCTCCACAATGCAGAGAAAAAGCCTTCAAAATCTGATTCCTCATATCCTCCTAGCAGCTCCTAAAAATATATGCAAATCTATTAATTTAAAAATTGAAAATAAACAGATGGGGAAAAGGTACCAAAGCATCTGAATTAAGTTTCTCTAATTTTAACATGTTGCAGTGACTAAGAATTACCTTGGCCTCTTCTTCACCATATTTTTTATCCAGAAGATCAGTATTAATAACCTCTTGTGCTGTCACACTACAAGAAAGACAATTCCTCTATGATTTAATTTAAAAATTGAATTATTTCTTCTGTTTAACCCTTTCACTCCTACAAGTGACCAAGACAGAATTTCTCCTTACAATATCAATACAATATCAAGCAGGCAGGTGATGAGAATAGAGAAGAATATCAATTATGGGATTATTGGTTGATCCAATACCAAATTCTCTGAACCAACATCATAAGAATTGTATGGCAGATAGTAAGGAGAAAAACTAATTAGATCTTGGGAGTGAAAGGGTTAAGAAGAGGAAAATGTGTAAATCCAGAAAGGGAAATGAAAAGAAATGGGAGATGATATAAGGTAATTACCGTCCATCCTCATCTGTATCCAGAGCTTTGAATGAAGACTCAGCAGATGCCCTGTCTCTTTCTGCCACAATTTTCGCTTTGGTTTCTAAAAATGAAGAAAACACCAAACAAAGAGGTTATGAGTCAATCAATTAAAAGCTTCAACACCCCCCCCCCTTCCCCTGCTCACCCAGGTAACCCCCCTAACTTTGAACTTTAAAAGATTGTTCTGATGAAATTTCCACACCACTGGGCAAAAAATAGTGTTAAAATGCCCCTACTTTGAATCTATTGGTGCATCACAAGATTACTGCATCTCCTACTCTCAAATCAGACATTTTACTCCATTGCAGTATTTACCTCATAAGTTGCACATTATAGTGTCCCTTACCTTCCCAGTCCTTCTCATGTTTATCCTTAGCTTCCTTTTCAACTGCTTCAACCTCCTCTTTTTTGGCTGCCATTACACAAAAAAATATATTTACAAATCATCTCTATTGCACACAAAACTACAAATGTACCTATTCAAATATGTCAGTACCTTTCAAATTTTCAACAACAGCTTTCTTCTCCTCCAGCTGTTTCTTCAATTCTTCAAGCTTTTGCTGTGTAATAAAATGTAGTGAGTCAATTTTCTCCAATAGAAAAATATTAAGTAACCAGAGCATTCTAACACACCAAGCAACTGTACCTTTCTTTCTTCTTTTTTTCCCTGACCTTGCTGACTGTAGTCTTGTTTAATAGCCAGCCCCTTAAAAAAATCATCAAACTCCATAAATGACAGATATTTAAAGGAAACACTGTGTATCAAGCAAAGAAATAATTCTCGCAGATGGACTGCAATTCAAGCAATTGAAGAGAAGAAGTGTGAAAAATCTTCAGCTTTTACAGGATACCAACTTGTGCCTCCCAGATGCTAGTTGGATGCCACTATCAACTGAAGTTACATGTGGGAGAAAGGAAGATTTTAGAGGGTTCGTCTTTCACATGAAGGAAACTGAATGAAAATTGCTAGTCTCACACATATATATATAAAAAAGGTAAGGCTAAATCAGATCCTCTAGATTCTGATCCACTAACCTGCTTTGCCAGTTCAGCTTCTTCTCGCTGTTTCTGGAACAATTCTCTATAAAGTTCCCTAAAAATGTCACAAATACATGTGCCTTTTATCAACAAGCGTGCACACTTTTCTGGCCAGTATGTTTATTTACTAGACTAACAGAAAGAAAGATAGAGAGACTGTGGACTTGAAGAGATGATGCAGACAAACAAACAGACAGACAGACAGAAAATCTGAATCCTTAGCTTATAAAATGTAGCCATGCAAACTTTCACCCAGGCAATAAATTCAGCACTGAATGAATTGGTAACAGGCTTCTTGCTCTCCTTTCTCTTCTCGGCTCAAGTGAGCAATGGTCAGTGTTTGGCAAACTGAGTGCGATTCACAGAGAAAGGGTACAACTTATTTCTATTTGTAGATAAAGTTTGTTTCCAGAAAATACTTTCAGTTATGTCATGAGCTAATTACAAAAGCTTCATTACAAAAGCTTAATCTGGGAGCAGACCCTAATTTTTTTATTAGTACTGAGGCAAGGGCATTTCTTTGCCTGCAAAAAAGTTTAAGGCCTGAGACAAAGCCAGCTAAAGAGAGGTCTACAAGGGATTCTGGTGCCTCATTACTAGTGCCAGATCCCTTACCAATCCCTGGCTCACTTTGCTTTACCCTTTAACCTCACGCATCTTATTTCACCTTGTAACATCACCCCTGAATCACACGCCAAGGGCAGAGGAATAAAGAAAAAGACTACCAACTTTAAATAAAAAGCTCTTGATTGAAAAACAAATTCTCTTTGTCACTACCTTAAGAAATGTATAGAGAACAGTATGGAGAATATACATACTGATGTTAGAGTGTGAAGGGTTAAAGCCTTCAACTTACTTGTAAGCAAAGAAACACTTTTTTGACGGTCCTATTAAGACATATTTTGGTATTATCAACTGAATTAATAACGTAAATTGGCCACCTTTAAGAGTTTCAAAGCTGATGTTTTGATCGTTAGCAATTTGTTAGTCATTCACTCTGACAAAGGGCTAATGCTCAAAACACCAGCTTTAAAACTCTTTATAGGGACCAATTTATGTTATCAACCAAGTTGATAATGCCAAATTACCGTGTACCTCTCCTACCCATGCAGCACCACAGTTTCTTTAGAAACTAACCCCCTTTATTCATTTGGCTAATAATAATGACTTACATGTACTTGTGGGCTAGCAAAAAAGGTTATCAAGATTTCTTTACTACAAAATGACCCCACCTCGGACCTTGACCTCGACCTCTTGAAGTCTAGGGACCTTTCTAATACAAATGTAGGTCACACATAAGAACAGCAAGGAAATCTTTAAAGTATGCTTACTTGCAAGTATTTGGACAGGTTACGGTGCCATCATATTCATCGCTGCCATCACAACAGTCTGAAAAACAATTTGGAAGTTTACCCCTTAGATTCATTATTTTCATGACTGAGCATTATTAAATTAAATGTTGGCACAATACTTATAGAAGTGCTTGTTTATCAACCAAAAGGATAGCAACATACCACAAATTTCATCATTGACTCTGGAAGATGGAATATTTAAGGGCTTAAACCCAGCATTTGTACAGTGGAATTTTCCATTAGTGCAAGCTGATGTTCCTGAAAAGCATGGAATGGCAGAGTTACTACAAAGTGATTTGTGGGAAAAAGTATTGTTGAAAACCATTAGTAAGTAACTTTCATTTTACTTCTTGTTATAGAGAAATGCAAATTGTGTTGTTCTAAGTTGATTTGGTTTTAACAACTAAGTTGATAATGTAAATTGACCACCCTCGAAGAGTTTTGCTCTGATGAAGGGCTAACACAATGCGTGAAACATTGGCTTTGGAAACTCTTTGTGATGACCAATTTACATTTATCAACTCAGTTGATAAAAACAAATTGCCTTATTGTAACCCCACTGATGCAGCACCACAGTTTCTTTGGAGATTTACCCCCTTTATTCATTTGTTCTAAGTTGGTTTGAAGTACATTAAGGTAAAAATACCATCACAGCAAGGAAAAGCAGCAACAACAAACTGAACCTAAGTGTGTTTATGCAGATTTAGGTTTGGGAGTCAAACCTGCCATAGCTACGGCAGCAAGAGACAAACACTTTCACTAATGTTTCATTCTACACCCCCTAAGTGCACAGGACATTTGCAACTCACAATGGAATTACTATATACAATTGCAATTGCACAGACCTGGTTCATCAGTGCCATCAACACAGTCACAAAAATCATCATTTACACTATTAAATGGAACAGTTGCAGATTTATCCAAGCAAGTGAAGTCCCTGGATGGATCATAAAATGCTAACCCTGAAATCACAAAAAGAGAAGAGATGTCGATCAAAATCATTTTAAGAGTCTAAAAAATGCCTTAACACTTTAAAGATGTTGCAGTTCAAACGAAGAATTTAGCTTCAGGGATGTATCTTAAATATTTCTCCCTTTTTTTATTCATAAGGACTTGAAAAGACAAAAACATTTACACTGTATCTTCTTGTTCTCTTTGACTGAAAAGCATATTCTACTTCAGTAGCAATCCACATCCGAAGTGACCACATCATGAGATAAATGATTTTGTTTCTCTTTTGAAGTGTTACTAACCCCAACCTATTTTACAAGCAGATACTAGTCTTACTCAATATAGCATCAGACTACAATGCTCACAAGTGAACACTCCACCACCCAGAAGCAATCCATAAATAAATCATCCTTACAGTTGTAATGCAATGACAGGCAGACAGGTGGTGAGAAATCAGAACACTATCAATGATCTGGAGGTCAAGAACAGCCAATAAAGAAATTCATCAAAGGACTTCAATGACTGTTTCTCTCCCAAGATCTCATTAGCAATTCTCCTTACTGTCTGCCATACAATACTTATGATCTTAGTTTGGAGAATTTGGTATTGGATCAACTAAGGATCGGTACATTTTTTTAAAATTTCTTCATTTGCGTGCTTGATATTGGAAGGGGAAATTCTGTCTTAGTCACTCTTGGGAGTTAAAGGGTTAAGAGAATTTGTCATTTGGTGTCAAGAATGATACGATTTAAGCATCCAAGGATACATATCTTATAAAAAATAAATGACTACAGCGGATGGCGCCATTAATTAAAATAACAAAAACTGAGGCCGGCATAATTGACCTTGTTCAATTTCATGGCGCATCGCCAACTCGACAAATTCTATGTTTTAAAAATCTAACGTGCGATAACGCTGCCATTAAATCAAATCAGGCGCATGCTATAGCAATTTTTTTTGGCCACTTGCGTATCAAAAAGAGATTTAGTCTTAAGTTACTTTTTTCTTCTAGTGACTTCAGTTCACGACGTTATCTTTCCTTAATTAAACGACGCAAATTAGCAAATAAATTCATATTGGGCCGTGATCTACTTACTAGTAAGTGCCACTCCTCTTATAGTGGACGCTGTAGCTATATTCAAGTTAAATAGAAAAATCGCAATTATAACTAGAGAAATTTTTCCCATTTGAGATAAGCCATGGAACGCCGCCATGTTGAATACACGTGTCGTCAGGAGACTGAGTCAACCTCGTTTCCAACCTTTGACCGCGAAGAACTGGAAAGAGGTAATACGAAATTCCCGCGAAATACAGTGCCCCGCTGTTCAAGGAGTTCGCGGGAGCTTTCCTTCGTTGTGTGATTGCCAAATTTCCCGATAACGGCGTGATGAGATGGCGACGTCCGATTTTTCGGTTGTAATCACGAAAATGAAAGCTCGCCATGTCACTGCAGGATGATATTTCACAAAGGATTGTATTGAAAGGCTATGGAAGCTCCTGAAAAGCTTTCAAGCGACGAACAAAGGTGAAAAACAACTGGTTATGGGGTATCATTTTCAAGCTCGAGTACTTTATTTAGGGACAACCGTATTTTGATTTATTCCGCTCTACTTGTCCTCATTCTTGCTTGCCTTTATTTACATCTCTTGATTTCTTGCTGAGAATGTGATATTTTTAGAAAGAAGTATAGCATTACCAAGCTTTCTTTATCAATTGGAATTTTTGAACCTCTTTCAAATAAAGCAATATACACGGACAAGTACTTGAAATTTGTACATGAATTGTCCGAGATGCGTGTTTTCGTCGCGGCTAAATATCCGTCTAGCTGCTTATTTAAAAACAACTTAGTCAGTCAATCAAAAAATTTTCTACCTGCCTTTCTTTTAATGGTGTGCTTCTCAGAGAATTAGTGCATGTGTGTGCGATTGGTAATCGTCATTTGGTTAATCATAAACCGAAACGAGGTGAGGAAGTTGTAAACAGTGGTTTGACCGGATCTTCACTTTTTGAACGTGTGGACTGCATCATTTTGAGCTGAATATCTATCAACTGAAGGGTGGCATGATAAATTTTTGTATGTTCTACGCTGTATTACTGTACGGTGTTTTTCAGTTTATAATCAAAGGTTATTTCACAAGTGTTAATTTACTGTTAATAAGATAAGGGGTCTCTTTGAGCTAGACAGTCTGGCTCAGTTTTTGAGATCTCACCTTGCCCCTCTTTTCTTTGCAAAATATTCAGTACAAATGTGTTGAGAAGAACATATCCTTTGGTGTGGGACATTGCATTTCTTTCAAACAAAATCTGGAGTACAACAAAGGTTTCCAATTAACCCCATGTCATTCCAAGATAAAGCCTCAATGCTTGAGGAAATTGATAGTTTTGCTATTTTTTTAACTATCAAATAACAGAAATCTTGCCAAGCACAGTTCGAAACAGGAAAAACTTTGAAGGTTATATGTTGTTCATCTCTGCAATGTAACAAACAATTTTACACATGAAAAGAGGACAAATAGTTTTCCCACAAATCGGTCCAACTCATGGCCAGTTGCTGAACTCAAATTAAAGAAAGAGGCAATCAGTTTGGTAATAGTAACTTTTACTTCTCCAAGCAATCCATCATCTATTTGACTGGAAGGTCATTTACAAATGCATTAGGTATGAATTGATGACCAGGAAGGAGTTTTCCTTGGTATACGGAAGCTCCTTAATTTTGAAAATAGCAAGAAGATTATGTTATTTCATCTTTCAGTGAAAGAGCTGAGAAGTTCTATGACCAGGCTCTGCTTTTAGTGGATTGCTGCAAGATCCCTGAAGCAATTAAATTGTTTGAAAAGGTTTGTGGCTTTCACATTTAAATGAGCTGACTTCTGAATGAAAGTTATCTGTATTCAGGTCAAGTTAGACTTCACCCTTTCCATCCCATCTGAATTTTCTTGTTATCATTCTCCTTGAGATCAAGTTAGCAAACTCACATGATCTGTAGACACTGAACTTTGTATATCAAATCATCATCTCTCTGGGATCTTTGCCAAGCTGACTTAACCCTTGAACCTTAATTGCGATCAGAATGTACTGTAACTTCCTGTTACAATTTGATACATTATCTAGCAAATTGGTAAGGTGAAGAAACTAAAAGATCAGCTGTAGGATCTCATGTTAACCCTTGTACCCTTACATCAGTATGCATATTCTCTATACTGTTCTCTATACATTACCTAATGTGAGGACAAGGAGAATTTGTTGAACAATCAAGAGCCTCTATGGTTGGGAATCATATCCTTTATTTTCTTGACCCAAGTGTGTGATTCAGGGGTGATATTGTGAGGAGAAATTAGGTGTTTATCACTCTTATGGTTCAAGGTGTTTATGTTATAGTAACACCATATTCAGTTCATCAATAATCCAGAGGGAAATATAAATTGTATGGCAGTCAAGACTAGAGGGTTTGAAGTCATACATGTATCTTGTTAGTCAAAGTGTTGATGACCAGTCTATTCCTGTACTTTCATCCATTAAGTAGTTTATCTCTCTTCCTGTTCAAAGATATATGCACATACAATTTGAAATGTTTTTCACTGCAGGCCTGTCAGCTCAAACCTGGCTGTGAAGTCTACAAGGAAACGCTGGATTTCTTTCAGGCAAGAGCAGATCTTTTAGACAACAAACAACAAGGATTAAGCTATGCCAGTGTCTCCAGGCCAAAACCAAGCTGTGGGAAAGCAGAACAGAAAAGTTATTCTGCTGAATGGAATGTAAAGAAGGCAAGAGGCAAAGTGCCAGAGGTTTCAACTTGTTATTACAGCCATGCTGATGAGCAGGCTACTATTGACAATCCATGGGCTTCCTATGTGAGCAGAAGTCATCGAAAGAGGAGTACTCCAAGCAGCCCAATTGATGGTCTTACTGAGATTGATCTTCCTCAGATGAGTGAGAACATGTGGTACAGTTCTGGAAGTCAAAGTTTGAAACAAGACTATGATCGCCAAGATCGGGATGAAGTTGACAGTTTTTTCAGTTCATCGCTAAACACACCCATCAGTTCACAGGAAGCATTGAATGAGGATAGCAGTGTTTGTGATCATAAACAGGAAAATCACAGTGATGACACAGTTGATGCTTTCGTTAACCAGAGGGAAGAATGCCCAGAGGAGTTTTATGAAGACAGTGGCAACGATGAGGAAGATGTAGATTCAAGATTTCTTGATGAATTATGTGCAGCGCGAGAAACATTTTTAGATGACTGGGCTAAATACTATGATGTGTTAAATAGGGATTTGAAAGAAGAGTCACCATGCTCTGAATCAGGTGTTTTAAATCAGGGTGTTTCCACACCTTTGGAATATTCTGACAGTTTTGATGATGCAAAGAGTATTAAAGATAAGAAAAAGATAAATCACTCAGGGAAAGAAAAATCAAATTCTGAGAAACCTGAATCTAAGATCAGCTGTGATGTATGTGCAAATTGTGGGCAACCAAAGGAAGGCAGAACTCAACCTTGTAATGCACCAAAAAACAGAATTCATTTTGTAAATGGTACCTGCATTTCTAGTGCTAATTCACCTATAAGTAATTGTACTTGTAACAGGAAACATTCAGTGAAGGGTATTTTTAAAGGAAAATCTGGAAAGACACCCCTTTCTACTTCACAACAAGAGTTTTATCAAAACCTTCAGAACTACTTTGGCAGTGGAGCAGTTAAGAGTGTGAAGACAGATTCTAAAGTAAAGAAAGAAAGTTCCTCTGGTGGTATGGATGCAAATTGTGCCACAAACTTAAATTCGTCATCCTTAAGCAATGAACCATCAAAGGTTAAATCTAGTCAGAATGTTGCAGAAAGTAATGAGTGTAATGCAAAAGATAATAAACACTCTGATGACTTTGCTTCAAAGGAACAATTGACCAATGGGGTTGAAGGTTTGAGGTCATCGTTCAGTGAAGATGGAGTGATGAAAGACAAGACGTCATTTGATGAGGGTAGATTTCACCAGGAAAGCTTCAGTGAAGGACGGAAGGTGGGTGACAATGTTGACAATAACACCAAGGCCACAGTTAACACGGAACATGTTAAGAGTTCGAAGGAAAGAACTGATTCTCACTGGCGATCACGGTTTAAGGCTGGTGTGAAATCTAAAGTCAGTCACAGGGCAAAGAGTATAGATCCCACTGAAACAAGGAAGCCTTCAAATGCACATGTCAAAGAGAGATCAAGATTGAAACCAAGGACAGAGAGAACTGTTCACGCAGAGTTTGACTTGTCTAAGCTTACATCTGGTCTTTATTGCACAGGTATTTTGTTCAGTTTTCTTTCTATCATTCCCTCTTACCTTAATTCCTTCTGTCTTACTTTCCCCTTTTTCTTTCTTCCTCTGTTCCTCATTCTGTCCTTTCCCACCATCCTTTTTTACTTCTTTCCTCACACTCTCCCTAGTTGGTCCCTTACCTTACCTTCTTATTTTTTGTCTCTCCCTCCCTCTCCTTTCTCTCTCTCTCTCTCTCTCCTGTCTTACTCTCTTCATCCTTCCATCCTTGCACTCTTCCCTCCTTACAATCTGCCCTACTTCTTTCCTCTCACCCTCAGCCATTCCTGCTTTACCTCCCTCCATTCTTTGTCCTTCCTTCAGCACTCCCATTTTCTTTCCTTCCATCACTCTTCCTTCTATTCTCCTTTCATTCCCTTGTTATATCATTCTGTCTTCACTTTGTTCTTTGTTCTTTATTCTTAATATGTAATTTGCCATATTTTGATATTTCTATGCTGTCTTTAAGGTGTAGCAGTTTTAAGTAAGAGTGGTCAAGCAGTGAAGTCTATTTTCTACTATGTTCTACTCCTTCTGGCTTTGCTTTTTGGCTTTTTCATTTATTGGTGAGTGGAAAGTTTGGTCTTTAAAAGATCTGTACTAAAATCTGTGAATATTACCCCTACACCTATTTCTTCTTTGTGTGGAAGTACCAATCATTATTGGAAATGTAAAGCCAACTGGGTTGTTTCTGTTTATTTTTTTTTTCACTCTAGCTTTTGGTTTGCTGGCTGTTGGGCATGCAGGAGAACATTGTCTTTTGTTCCAGTGGGCAGATGGTTGGCAGAGGGAAGAAAGAAACTGTCAACTTTATTTGAATTCCGTCGGAAACAGGGAGAAAGAAGAAGCACATACTCAGATGGGCAAACTTACGATCTACCCAAGAACGGTAATTTATAACAAGATTTATGAATTTTTCTTCTCTAATTA